CGGCCCCACTCCCGGCACCCATCTGCTTAACTTCTGCAAAAGAAAAAAAATGAGAGGGAGCCAGAGAGGAAGGGAGGAAACTTAGAAAGAAAAAACACAGCGTCACCCCCGCGAAAAAACAAAACAAACTAGAAACATATAAAATCCAAGTGCCAGCGCAGCGCTCCCTAGCTCTCTGGGAAGAAACGGTCAGACGTTTGTTGTTTCCAAAGAACGGCTTCTGCCGGGCGGTGGTCTGTCGCGCCTCTCAGCTGCGCCCTTGTCTCGGCCTGTGCGCACAGCAGCTCTCCTTTCCGACTCCGTCTCTCCTCACTGGCTTTCCCCCCATCCCTCCTCCCTCTTCTTCCATTTCGCTGGAGGCCGATGCAGGATTAATGATATCGTCTGAGGCTGCGCGATATTGATATTTGGCCTGGGTTTATTTCGGGGATCACATTTAGATTCAGAAGGGAAAGACGGCGAAACAAAACGACAACGCGGTATTAAAGTCAGATGGCAGGGGGCTGGAGGGGGGCAGACTTTGGAGGAGTGGGAGGAGGGGCGCATGTTGGGCACAACGGTAATGAAATGACGAATATAAAGCGCAGCAGTCTGTCAGGTCCATGAGGAAACTTCTGTTGTCAAGACAGCAATAGGGAAATCAAAGAAAATACACAATCTTTCTCTTCTTAGTGTATTTTATGGGGTAGAGCTCGCTACAGTAGAACCCTTTGGATGGTGTGAGGTGTGGACTAAAATCAGGCGATTCCCTCTAAGCCTGATGGATAGAAGCATCAAAACAGGAGGGCGGGATGAAAAAAAAACTCTCTCACTGTATGCGGGATTTTCTTACTGCGGTGTCGCGCCTTCATTTTTCTGAGCAGGTAGTGCTTTGTTGGCGGCGGCACGTCTCCAAAGTCTTGGCCGGGTGCTAAAGCAATTATGAATTTTCTTTTCCTCCTGATTACATCAGACTGAGAAGAAATGTATGGCCCCCTTCTCTCCCCTACCCCATAGTAGCGTGCCTGCGCCAGGTACTGTACTACAATCCACGACGACGACGGAAAGATAATTAGGCAAAACAGCGTGCACGCACAACGGAACACCGGAAAAAAGGCAAGAAATCCTTATTTAGTTTTTGTTTAGCGAGGGGGTGGGTCTAATATTTCTAAGATAATAGTTCGTAGCAGATCTCTGTCTCTCTCAATACAGGAGCTCGTACAAATTCAGCATAAAAAACGTGTTATTTGTAAATGTGTGGGACACAACCTCTCCGCTGGAGTCGAACCTCTATCTGTCGGCGGGTGTGGTGAGACACGGGGGCGGGTGAAGAGGGTAAGGGTGCGGTGGGACGAGATGCGGCAGGGTGGGGGTGGGTGGGGTTGGGGGGCAGGCATGGTTGGGATAGCGATCGGAGAGAGAATACATACATAACACAAGCGCATCCGGGGTGGCTCACGTCTGTGTTTCCATTACCCGAGGCGCTCCAGGGCTGCATCCGGACCATCTGGGCCTGTGTGAGTGTGTGTGAGTGATATGTAATGTATGTATGTGTAAGAGGTTTCGGGGGGGGGGGGGGCAGGCGGCATTACAGCACCCGAACACTCTAGGACACAATATGCTCTTGCAGAATATCGTTCCATTCCAATTGTTGCCAATAATGTTCACAACTGTGCGACCGGTGCGACTCTCCTCGAGGAGAGCCAGCCCCAGCCGCCCACCCCTGCCTGCACCTCCTCGGATCAGTACCGGCCGGGCCGGGCCGGCGGGCACGGCCCCTGAGGGCTGCTCAAGGCGAACCAGAGCACCATTAGTGCGGCAGCAGCGGCAGCGTGCACTAACCTACAATACAGAGAAACGTGCTGCTGGGGCGAGGTGGGAGAGGTGGAGGGAGGGGAGA